GCTTTTCCTGTATGAATCTCTACAATTAATTCTCAACCCAAGTTTTAACTCCCCAAAGCAGCTGGCCAAATTTTCTCTTCTTTTTCTGCCGTCTAATATCTTTATTAAGCCCCCAGCCTTTGTGCGTGTATCCCCCCGTTTTCTCTCGGCTGCATGTGTATATATACATCAACAATAAAACCCTTGTTCAGTATACAAATTAGGAGCCCAAGTCCAATAAGTTTTGTGTACTCAATTCTTTCGTGTAATGCAAGTTAGTCCTTCTCTTCATTTTCTCCTCAATTTTGATCCTCTATCTTTTATTTCGCGAGATTTTGTCCACAAACTCAATGTAATAGCCAACTGATTATTTTCTTTTCCAATTGCTTCAAAACGGGTCCATAACTAAAAACAAAAGAAAATTAACACAAATTAGGTAAAAATTAATAATTTGACGACATAAAAACCTAGTTATGTAGTCTGAATAAGTGCATAAAATGCACTTATCAATTGGCAAGAGGAAAGTCTGGCACTAGTAGAACTCTTTCCCTGTCTCGGAGTAAATGATCTTTAGAAGAACCCTTAGTATAATTAGACTAGCCAATGGCTGCTGTACAGTATTGGGACTGAATCTAGGACCCTGACTTCCTCGGAATCGAGATTTGAATTTACCTGAACTGGATACACCAGGTCGAAATCATGTACTATCCCTCCGTGGTGATCTATAGCTAGAAACACTCACCATTGTCTGACTACTGCTTGCTCTGAATATTGTTTGTTCTCTACCACTTGACCTATCATAAATGCTCTTTCCTACTCTCAAAGCTGATTCCACTAATTTGCCAAATACATTCTAGCCTGCAGCTGTTACTACTGACCAGATTTCTTCCCTTAACTCATTTTCAAATCGTCTGCATTTATCAATTTCGTTGCTTACCAGAACTAGGGTATACTTTGAAAGTTCAATAAATTTCACCTGATATTCTGCAACTGTCATATGCCCTTGTACTAGTTTTAAAAATTCCTCCTGCCTTGCATCTTTATAGGACCGAGAGTAATAGGCATCGTAAAAGATACGACAAAAATATGTCCAAGTGATGATGGAAGGGTCTAGATATGTGCTCCGTACTGACTGCCACCAATCACATGCACACTCCTCTAATAAGAAAGAGGCAAGTCCTCTGGTAATCAATTCTAGAACACGACCAAGGCCCCTTTGTAAACTATATGTACACGATCAAGACCAATATCAGGTCAAAACCCCTCCGTGTAGGATAGAACATGGTCAAGGCTCCTCTATGAACTAGAAGAAATATATAATCATGGGTACTTTTCTGGCCGATCTCAATATTACATGTCTTACATACCAAACAAATCTCAACATCACATGTTTTACATACCAAGTCACAAATGTGCCATAAATAATCTTTGAGATTCCACATGTATCATAATAAAAGAGATTTTCATAATAATCATATAATCGAACACATAATTTCACGTACTTTGATAATATACTTAACTTATAAATACTTTAAAAAATACTAATATTTTTCCACTCACAGAACTATATACGTCAAAATCAACCCGGTTGGTAAACTGTCCCGATATCCGTATCGTCGCCTGAAATATAATATAATTTATAAATCAACAATTAACTATTTTAAACAATTTCAATAATTAAATATGCGATAATAAAACTTAAGTATTTCACATTTAGGCGATTTCTAAAGTCTCTTTAATTACTAAAACTAATTTTTCTTTCATATTACTTATTTCATAATTTATTATACTTAACCCCTTCAATAAAAATGAATTTAATCTAACAATCTAACAACTATAAAATTAAATATAACCTTTCAATGAGTAACTTTTTACTTACCTTTCAAAATTGAGAAATTCAAGCCTAATAATATAGAGCACTTAATTCCTAGCACGTTGGTGAATTTTTTCTATTTTTTCTTTCTTATCTTCCTCTTTTCTTCTTTTTTTTTTTTCCTTCTTTTTCCTTTCTCTTTTCTTTCTTTCTTCTTCTCTGAATCATTTTCTAGAGATTGGTTTGAGTTTTCACCGCCTACTATTTTTTTTTTTTTTTTGGTCTCTTGTCATTTTTTTTTTAGTTTGACTTTTCTTTCCATTAATTTAAGATATTACAACCACCACCTCTAGATGCACCTCCAAATCCACCATTAGCAGTGCCCAATCTACCACCGCTAATAAAACCACCCTAACATCACCACACCTCGAACCCACCATTATGAGCACTAAAACCTCGCTAACATCACCACAGCACCCACAAAAACACAACACTATGACGCCACACCACCACCATAGACCACACCCACAACACACTACCACCGCACACCGCCATCTCCTTTATCTTCATCTCGACCATACCACAACCACCACTCTACCAAAAAATTCACAAACCCACCACTACAACTTCTACAGACTAACACCGCCTGCACCACTGCCATCGCAAAAACATGCCGCAAAATCATCGCAAAAGGTAACCTGAAACCTCCGCACCCGTTGCAATGCCGCAGAAGTAGCAAGCGGTGCCATGATCCTACCAAAGAAAAGTTTAGATCGTCATTGCACGTGGGGATCTATGACCAAGCAAAACCATCGAAGTTTCATAGTACTATAAGACATTGAACGTCGTGATCTGTGATATGGTAAACCACTGGATTGTTACTACTCGCAGAGGCCTAGCAACGCCGTAGAGGCGAGGTATCGCGCTGTGCAGAGCTGCTCATCTGCTCATGGAGGTGCCATGCAGCAACGCGAAGCGGCAACTGGTCCTTTGATGCCACGCCTTAATATCGAATGTGCCATCTTGTCGGAGGTTGTGTTGCCGAAGAAGTAAGAATGAAAACTATAAGAAATAAGAAAGTGGCAAATGATTTAGGGTTTGGGTTGGCATGGGGTTTGTGAGATAGGATGAGTTGGGTGGATTAATTTAAATTATTAATATTAGAATTTTTAATACATTTAATTTTTGAATAAACAACCTTAGGATCTGATTTTTTAAGTTGGATCTTAAAACATGTGGATGGGTATAATTTCCACTATAAAAAAATAAAAAAAGCTGGTCCAAAATTGGATTTGAGCCCAGTCCAATCCCATGTATCTGCCCTAGCTAGAACGAGCAAATGAAACCCTAGGTGCTATCACAAATTAGGGTATATCCTGTAAATCAAATTAACCCTTCCGCTCAAATTTAACCATCAAATATGTCAAAAATATCTTGACATGATTTATAACGAAAAAAATATAAAGGGACAATTGTAACAGTTTCAAACCTTTCATTTAGTGGCAGACTGTGTCCAAACTTTCATTTATGTCACCGTAGGTACCAAACCTTTAAAAAAAAAATCACTGCTCAAGTCCAAAATGACTGTTTTCGTTAGTTTGACCTTAGAAATTGTTTATTGACCCTAGAAATTAAAATTTTAATAATTTCTTCTAAATAAGCTAAGGACCTGTTGGACATAATACATTTCTCTCATTAATTGCAAATTAAAAAAATAACAAAATCACAACCCACCCTCATTTCCTTCTTCTCCAACCCCTTCACTATTCAAACCAAAACTATTCCAACCACTTGTCGGCCACTATCGCTATCATCATCATCAACACCAACGTCTATACCACCCAAATTTATAGTTTAGGTGACCTCTACCAAATCTTCCTCTCAAATCTACCTAATGGTCGTCCTCTTCAATCGAAACGCTAGTTGGGGGCTCAAAATTGGAAGTGCATTTTCGATGAAATTGGTAGGCAGCATTGACGCCATAGGGGCTTTAGATGGTTTAGAATTCAACGATGATGGTGTCATGTGGTGGGTCCTACCCTAAGTGGCCAAATTGTGGACCTATTGCAAGTTTCGTGCTCAAATTCTGTGGAATTTCTTCAACAATCAAATTAATTGGCTCCCTATTGGCCTTGAATTAGATGTTGGCCGGTAGAATTTGGTGGATTAAGCTTTTAGGCCATTTTCAACACTACACCAAAATTTGCACAATTTTATACCAAATTTTGTACCAAACTAAAATTCATTTTCAACCATTACACCAAAACTTACATCAAATGAACATTGTTTAACCATTTTCTTCTCTTTTTTTCTTCTTAATAATTTATTTATTTGAAATATTATTTATTCAATTATTTTATAAATACATAAATTACTAAATTATTATGTTAAATCAAGGAAAAAAATTAAATTCATTAATAAATATAAAAATTCATTGTTTATTTAATTATTTTAATATATTTGTGTTAACTTTAAGAAATAATCGTGTTCGTTATATTTTTACTTTTTTCTTTTAATTAATTCATTAATTATTATTTTTTACATTCTAAATTTATTTTAAATGCAAATAATAATAATTTATTTATTAAAAAATATATAGTACAAATAATACAAATACCCTTAATCGATTTATTTGGGAAATGAAAAGAAAGGGTAAAAATGACTTTGGACACTTTGCACCAAAGTGGTGCAAAATAGTGTTGTATTGGAGTTGTTTTGCACCAAAAAATTGTACATTTTGGTGTTTTGAGGGATGCATTGGAGATGGCCTTAGGACCCTTCAATTGAAATAAAGGAGCAGTTGTGAATTATTTTGGCCAGTGCTCGATTCCCAAGAGCAACTATTGCATTGTTTTGGCCAAAAATTGTTCCATGAGTTGGTTGTCGTGTGTAAGAGGAACAGGTTGTGGTCGGCAACTATCAAATTGATCGGAGGTGGTGCATTTTGGAAGTAGGTTGTGTGCCACCCTTGATGAATTTCATTGATTACTTCCTCAATTGGTAATGTTTGTGCAGATGGTTTGTTGAAGTGTGTTGAGGGGGTTAAATTGCCCGTATGAAGGGCATTTTTCGATCAATCCTGCTACTCAACCAGGTTTAAAACCAGGCTTGGGAACAGCTAATAAAAAATTACTGTGGTGGCCCACAAGCCACAATAAAAAAAGAAAAAGAAAAACATATCCATTGAAAAAGAGCTTATGACCTCAAACAACATATAACAAACGGTGACTAATTTTTCATTTATTTCTTCTCTTCCCAAACCCTTAGTTTTGCCACCGCACCTCGCAAACCGGAGCAACCATTGCCGATCGGAGCACCGGTAGTCGCTGACACAGAAGAGGGAAAAAATGGGACAAAAAGGGAACCCATTTATATCCAACATTTGAAAGCCCAAAAGTCGACCGACTATTTCCTTGGTTTTCCTTCCATAATCTTCGACGTTTATTAGCACACATTCGAAAATCGCCAGCATTTCAATTCTCTCTTTGCAACTTGACAGTGGGTTATTCCCAGTCTTCATATCAACGTAAATGAAAAGGGGTTTTTATGATGTTCCTTCCAATGTTGGAGTTTAGGGGTTTGTTAAATTTGCTGTCTAAGTCGCATATAGGTGATGGTATGAAGTCAATTTTGTTGGTCTTTTTTTCTTGAATGTGTAATGGAGAATTCTTGTTGGGTTTGCTGCATACCCTATACTTGTGTATTGAAAATTAAATGTTGGTGGCATTTGAATTTTCCATCGTCAAATTTGGAGTAGAGTATAGACACTTCAATCTTGGACGTAAATTTTTGTTTAACTAATTGCACGTTTTCTTTTTGTGAAATTATTCAGACTTTTATTACATTTTATTTAAGTTATTCTTTGACATTTGTTGTTCCTCTAATGGGTTTAGTGTTGCAATCTTGGTTGTTTTCATTCCTATTTCTTCCATAAGGCACTTCGATGTTGAATGTTATCAATTAACTGAAGGGGCTAAATAAAAGCAGCTTATTCAGGTATTAAAAAATGCTATGTCCTTCAGTAATTGACTTGTTTGTTGTGATTAGGTAGTGGTTGATGTGTCTAGGCAGTCTTGTAGTTGTGATTTCGTATAATTTATTTTCAAAAATGACTCTTAATTAGCTTATCCGGTTGGCTATTCACAATTTGTGGATTTCTTGAATTGATAAATGTTTTCTATTTTTTATTCCCATCGTAGAATGCCCAGAAGGAACTTCGGAATCTGTCATAGTTGTAGAGCTAAAGACCATTTGTTTGCCGAATACAAAAGAAAACGCCCTTGCCCACGATGTAAGCATGGATTTGAGAAATGTTTTGTGGTGAAGAAGGAGAATCACAATAAGGGGAAACTATTCCTTTGTTGCAGCCAAAATTGTGGATTTTAGGAGTGGGTCGTAAAATAAGACTCAAGCAGTCAATGTAGTAGCAATAGCGTAACGGTCGTTAACCCCACGATGAACGACATTGATGAAGAAATATCTTGCATATTCAAATCTCAGGTACTGATAAGAGACGAAGAGGAGCTCAGATTTCCGTGAATGTGAGCATCAAGATGGAGAAAATTGTTGTAGACGTGGACGGTAAGGGAAGCGGCTAACTTGACTTGAAGATACTTATCGAAGCTTTTTTCGATGAAAAATGAATCAGCTTGTCCTTCATTATTTCTAGAGGCTGAAAGTCTTGTATGTGATGAATTAAGTCAAGTAGTTGAGCTTTGTGGTACGAGATTGTAGATCATGATAGCTTCGTATCTAAAGAAGCTTCTTTTGTAGACATTCTGACTATGCTAATTACGTGCACTTTATGCTAATTTATCGTTTATGTATTCCAAGTTGACAAGCTTAAGTGAGGCAAACATTGCTACAAACACATGAGAACTGCCAGTAGCATTCAAAATTCAATCACATGGGAGACCACTTGCAATCTCCTACATTAGTTGAAATGTATCATTAGTTGTATGACAGAAAAAATTATGCAAAGCCAATGAAAATGAAGAAAACTACACAGTTACATAAAAAGGCAGCAACAATTTTTTGGCTATGTGTTGTATTTCCACATGAGACATACGTTTGCTTCTAAGCTCAAAGTCCAAATGTCAAAAACTGTGAAAACCCACAATCAAGATCTGGGCACCAATTACAACTTCTAAGTCTTAAAATAATCACATCGAATGCAAAAAATATTGCTCCAATCTGACTGAAAATGCGTAGAATGTGGAGTTTCTACTAAAAATGGTACAGCTCGCTGGGAAAAAATAATACTCCATATTCTACAACCTTTTGAATAAAGTGGAGTTTCTGCTAGAAATGGTACATCACAACACAAACTAAGCTACATAAATAAAATCCTCACCAGATATAATACATAGCCAAATAGAGTGCAATTAACAATTGCTTTATTTAGATAACCAACCATATCCAAAATATAACAATTGCTTTATGTAGATAACCAACCATAGCAATTACTACAGCAAGATAGTACAAAATACAGCCCGTGATTTGAAATAAATAGAGCACTACAATGTTGCCAAAATACAATTACTTGTGTGTGAAATGAAACAAATATTTCAAAAAATTCCACTAGTACAAAATATAAAGCCCTCGCTTCAGTCATAAGCCACTGCCACCATGATCCAATAAATTTTGATAGAAGTTCGACAATGGTTGACCTACAATAGAATACCATAACAAATAGTTAATAATGTATTCACAACAAAATGAATTTTAAAACCATGTAGCAACACTTATTTCTACCTTGCGAACTTTGCATAACATTAGTCGCGGCTGGAGGGACCAAATTTGCAAACGGCAAATTTTGCGAAAGGGAGAACGGTGTCTGCATGGACAGTTGTGACAAGGACATCATTGTGCAAGTACGATGTCGGAGTCGACATGGAATATTGCTGAGCCAACTAAAAGTTCATTGCATCATCAGCCATATTCGTATTGCTATTTCTTGGTGGCATATTTGTGGTTGATGTCCCGCCAGACTACATTCACAGTTAATCGCTTAGTTTTCAATTTAAACAATTGCAAATATAAATCGCACATTCGAGCATACCTTTGCTTTCTTCGATGCCATCTCCAATGAGCTTTTTTTTCTAAATTTCCTAGGTGCATCCTTTCATCGAGCCAATTTCGGATCAAGTATGCTTCCGCTTGCAGATTTTGATACGTCCACACAATCATTGGACACCTGTATGGTACACTGCGATATAGGATTACTACAACCACCAGATTTTGTGGTCATCATATCTTCACATTGACATTTTATCTACTTCATTATTACACGTGACTGCATTTCATCGTCTGTAGCAAGGTCTGCCACCTATGCAAATCCTTTAGACATCTCTTCGTATCTCAATTGTGCAGGAGTAGTAGCTAACCCAGTATAGTTTACTGTAACTCTCGTGTGTACTCTACGAACATCCCTCTTCCATCTCCGCAAAATATACCTCTTCGGAATACATGTGACGTCATTCCAGTCTAGAACTGCTATTGCATGCCTACATAGTATTCACCTAAACTCAAACAAGTGGCAGCTATAAACAACTTCACAATTATCTCTCACAAATGAGACGACGGATGTTTTTCTCTTGTGATGACTGTCATACATAATAGTCTTCCATACATTGTACGTCGTATCATAAGATCTTTCCAACGTAGATATGATGGTACAGTAGACCTGACCTGTGAACTCTTCTTGAACTTCCTTGAATTTTGATATAGTGTAAATTGACTGAAATTGTTCATCCATTTCGAATTGTATTGCACATGGTATCATTTGAGAGAACAACTTGAAATTAGTTTGGAACTCCTTCTGGACCTTATTCCACAGAGCACGTTCGTACTGTTCGACGAATGCTTCAACGATGTCTTCGAATGCACATATCCATCGAATAACACGTTTATGTATTGTTGACATTCCTACCCAAAAAGTGGTTTTCAAAAAACAAGGCACCCAACGCCCTTTATTCTCATATAATCCTGACAACAAATTATTTTTCTGCAAGCTATAGGTGTTAATCATCGCCATCTAACCTTCTTCAAATTCTTGTTCCGACATGGAATCATACACTAACGAATGTATAGCCCCAAATATAAAACTCTTATCGACATGGTATCCAAACTTTTCTAGGAGCTTTTTTAAAATATGCCGCAAACATCATCTATGCTTTGTGTTCGGGAGGATAATCTCAATTGTATTTTGCATTGCTCTATCTTAATCCATAATTATGGCATGTAGAGCTTCACCATACATACACTGAAGCCATGTTCTGAACAACCATACGAAGGTATCGGTGTCTTCATTCGACACCAATCCACAACCAAGTAATGTTGACTCTCCGTGATGATTGACGCCAACGAATGGGGCGAATGGCATATCATACTTATTAGTAAGATAAGTGGTATCAAAAGTAACCACATCACCAAACTCCTTGCATGCTAGCCTACATTGATTATCTACCCAGAATACGTTTCTCAGTCGTGAATCGTCATCCAAATCCATACTAAAATAAAATCCCGAGCATTGTGCTTGTATTTTTGAAAAGTATGATTGTATTGCTGCAGTATGGCCTTCTCTTAATCATATCTACATTACCAATTCCATATTTGAACATGTTAAGTGCGTGGGCAAATGAAAATACTGATAACAAACACAAGTAAATTAATTGAATTTTCTTTTCCTCGAATTAAGTGTATGGCATATATACAACCAAAAGTTATTGAAAAATTATGATGTGAGCATAATTGTGTTTTCATGCACTTATCTCTTGCGTATTTAAAGGACAAGCTTGCAACATGAATTTTCAGAAATGACTATGGTGGTGAGTTCCTTCAAACGTTAGGTGGTATCTCACAAATTTCGAGTCATTTGGAGTATGTTTGATTGTGATGTAGCATAACTTTTGAAGCGAGATGTATCATGTTATGTGTGTATTAAAGGGACTTATCAAACAAAATTTTCATACACGAAGAGTCTGCTAAGATGCTAGGACACAGGTAATTAATAATTACTGAGCTACTTGAGCTTGCTTGAATGAAAAATTACCTTGTCGTTTCAATAAGTTCGGAAGAGTGAAAAATAGAAAGTTGGGTGCATCTTCATGGCTACTTTATGGATGCAATAATTTCATAGGTGCTCCGGTGACGAGAGGGCCAGTCGACGGCTAGAGGGAGGCCACGAGAGTCAGGGAACAGCGACGAGAGTGAGGCCACAAAAGGGAAGGGCTTGGATTACCTTGTCCTTTGGGATTATCTTTCCCTCTGATTTCCCGCTTCTTTAGCCCTATTTTTTTATTTCTTTTTCAATTTTTTCTTTCTTTTTTTTTTGGGGGGGGGGGGGGGGGAATGGGTTTTATAATAGTGATTTCTTTTAGAATACGTCACTAAAATGTACAAAAAAAAAGTTTAAAAATAAAATTATTTTATTGAAAAAATGTGTGATTGAAAATAAAACTGAAGATAATTTTTTTTTTTTTTTTTTTTTTTTTTTTTTTTTTTTTTTTTTTTGGGGGGGGGGGGGGGGGGGGGGCCAAAAAGTGCCACGTCAGCAAGAATTAAAATCCGTGTTTTCACTGGCTGACTAGCATTATTTTTTCCCGATAGCTTAGGTGGTGTGTTGAGGGTGGCTTTAAGGTAGTGAGGGGTTGGGGAAGAACGAGATGGGGTAGGTTGTGATTTTAATTTTTGATTTAGTAGAAGAAATGTATTATGTCCAAAATGTCCTTAGCTTATTTGGGAGACATTATTATTTTTTTAATTTTTTGGGTCAACTGACGGTTTCTAAGGTCAAACTAACGGAAATCGTCATTTTGGACTTGAGCTGCAATTTTTTAAAGGTTTGATATCTATGATGTTACAAATAAAATGTTTAAGTAAAGTTTGTCATTAAATGAAAGGTTTGATATATTTACTGCAATTTTTCCAAATATAAAGGCAACTTTAATACCAAACATATTCTTGGCCAAATGAATAGAAAAACTGAAAAAGGCAGGTAAATGGTAAAAATATGTCATGAAGAATTTCCTACGAAGTGTCATCTGATTAAGATGGCATGATATTCCCACTATAACAAAGTAAAATGGATCCCTCGTCCCTTTGCTATCCGTGGAATAGTTTGTGATTCTTTTTTAAAGGTAGATGATAACGTGACTTTAATTTTTTTTCTTTTTTATACAAGTGGACCATAATGTCTGATGATTCTCCTAGACACTGATAATATGTTTGATATGTTGATCTAATTTGAATTTGACAATATTAAGAGCTTGTTTGTTAGAGTTTAAAAGTCAATTAAAATCAATTTTTTGATTGTTATTTCACTATTCCTGTCGTCATTTTTGAATTCTTCTTTCACATGTACGACCTACTTTATCTCTAACGGTCAAAAAAATCAATTATCAAAATTCTTATCAAACAAGCACTAAAATAGAAAAGAATAAGGATGTGAGATAAAGTCTTATTAACTATAATATTTATATAACCAAACAATCAAAAAGTACCTGTCTTATAACAGAGTCCATGATAATATAGGAACAAGTTAACCATGGGAATAATTGGTTAAATAGTATCACACATTTACTCACAAAATTCTACTTAATCTATTCATTTTGATGAGCAATTATAACATTGAATTCTCTTCATAGGAATTATTGGTTATATATATGGTATTTGAGAGACATTTTTATGTAAAAATTTATTTTTGAATAGTAAATTCATGGGAAATGTGTGGTTGAAAAATAAGAAGAAATTTTTGATTTACGTGTAATATTATTTTAATAAAGAATGTGTTGTTGAAATGAAGAAAGAAAAAAATGCATTTTGGAAAAAAATAGTATTACCTGCACTTAAACTTCATGCTAGAATTGAGATATCAACAATAAAGATGCATAAGATTATGCTATATGGTCCCTTGACTCAAAGTTCCCACCCATCAGAGGAATCACAATAACTCAGCCTTTAACCCAACCACGAATTTAACCTTAATGTTAAATTACTGCATCTGAAACTTAAGTGAAAATGGACATAATATGGTAGAACATGAGCAAGACAAAGTTTGGAGAGAATATGCCTCAAAGAAAAATCTTTACAATTCACGCAAGTGTTTTTACTCACTTTGCCCAATGATTTATAATACACTATAATACATGGGTATAATTGAATGTCGTCTGTTCTTCGCCTCAAATCTCATCATCCAGGCCTCTAGATATACGCCTCGAAAATCTTAATCAACCCCGTAATATTGGATCTTTGCTTCCATGCCTTCACAAGCAGTTGTAATCCATTCGTCTCTATCTCTAATCCCTACATTGACCTCAGTAACCTAGGAATCACTTACTTTGATCGATCAAATATAGTTGAGCTACTACAACTACTTTCCTGTAAAAATAAAGATAGCGATTTTGAGCCACCCAGGACACATCCCAACTGGCAAAGATGAGGGTGCTTCAAGGCTGACAGATCAGAGGTCGTGAGTTCGATTTCTGGAAGACTCTTGAAAGGCAGGATTTATCCTGAAAGGCAGGAACTCTACTAAAAGGCAAGGTGCAAAGATGGTAAACAACTTGTTTGTCACTTTGACAGATCAGTTGGGGAGGCTCTTGAGCACTGGTCAGTTTGTGGCACAATCTGCGGTTTAACCTGTCTTCAGCTTGAAGGGCCAAGGTGTAGACTCCAGAATTTAGTCACTGTAAGGTGGATACCTGGATATTTAAAAAAAAAAAAAAAAGATAGCGATTTTGAGCAACACTTTGAACAAAATAGGTGAAAGACAGAGTGTGATGTGATTACCTATTGTCCACGGACAAAGAATCTCCTTATTGGGTTCACATCACTCTGAAAAGTCTTTATTGTGGATGGACAAATTTGATTTAGGCACCCGTTAATTTGAAAAAATATATTATGGAATAGTGATTGAGGAAGAATGTGTGGTTAAAAAAGGAATTTTTTTTTTATTTGGTATAATATTGTTTTAATGAAGAATTTGTTATTAAAATTGAGTACCGTAGAAAAAAAATGTAAAATAAGGATGGTAAACAGGAGCTTAGTAAATATCTTGTAGAGGTCAAGAAACCCATTTAACGGCTACTTGGATGGAAAACATTCAAAATGATGATTCTTGCTAATTAGTTGAAGGTTGTGTTAGAATCGGGCAATAAAGGATGGAGATATGATTACAACTCTAGACAACGATTGAGATGAAAAGCCTAATTTACCAAAGTAGTGAACTTATTTGAGCACCATTAAATTGGAAGAATGTATTTTAAAATAGTAGATTGATGGATGATGTGTAGTTAAAAAATAAAAAAATAGTTTAAATTTACGTGAAATAATATTTTAGTGAAGAATGTCTAATTGAAGAGAAAAATGTACTTTTGGAAAAATTGGGAAACAAGACATAATCAGTGTTACCAAACGAGCCACGCAGAAAGATCTTTCTGGACAGAAAAGCGTGTGCAGGCGTTATCCCATTTATTCAGTTGCAATTCCCATCGAACCCTAAGCAATTCGTCAGATACAGAAACATCTGTAATCCATCAATGGCTGTGGAGGTCTGTGTTAAGGCTGCTGCCGGTGCTCCTGACATTCTTGGCGACTGTAAATATGAATTCTTTCTTCGTTTTCTGTTTTCTATTTTTGTTGATTGTTTAGTTTCGTCCTTCATATTTCATTTTTCTTTTGATGTTTTAGGTCCATTCTGCCAAAGGGTACTCATGACTCTGGAAGAAAAGAAAGTCCCTTACAAGACGCATTTGATCAACACCAGTGACAAGCCCCAGTGGTAAATACTGCTAATTCCAACATCAATTCCATTATATATATTTTTTTGATTAATATGTTTGTAGTAATGAAATGAGTTTTTGGGATGGTTATTGTTTGTTTTAGGTTCTTGGAAGTGAATCCAGAAGGGAAGGTGCCGGTTATGAAATTTGATGACAAATGGATTGCTGATTCTGATGTTATTGTTGGTATTATTGAAGAGAAATACCCGAACCCTTCTTTGTCTGCTCCTCCTGAAGTCTCCTCTGTGTATGAAATCATTATCGCTTTCTCTTTATCTACATATTTATTTGTGTCATCTTATATTGCTGCATCTTGCTTTTTTGAAGTCATGATTTTGGCATAAAATTTAACTGCTAGTCTTTTCATGGGCGTGAGATTGCAAATTTAAAATTAGTATTCTTGTAGGAGAAGGTTCGGAAATTTGCTGAGATGGAAACTGCCTCGAAGGCGATTTTTAAGTTTCATTAATTTTGGAGTCCTTACTTCTAGTGTGTGTGTTTTCTTCAAATTTTTTAATAGAAATAGGATGTTTATGATGTTCATCTTCTTTATACACGTGTTTGGGTATGTTGATTCTTATTTAACGTAATACTCTTTATTGTTATAACGTGAGATTTAGGCCGAAGATAGCAACTCTGTTTGAAATAATTCCACTGTTTTCCTAGAAAGTAGTAATGGACTAGTAGTTTATATTTGTTTGTTTATTAAACTGAGATGATACCCTATTTATTCTTTTTCCTGGTACTATTATTGATCTTTTCTTTCTGTAATGGCGTCATTGATTTGATGTATGAATTGTGCTTACCCTTTGTGCTCTTTGCCTGTTGCAAAGTTATGTATTTCTTCTTGAATTTGAATTTACTCTGTATTCCTCCATTAGTAAGACAATGGATGCGGGTAATTTAGAACAAATTTGACAAATGTGTGAATGGCTTTTAAATATATATGTTAGCTAAATGGTTTGGTGCACTATTTTATTGTTGTAATCTTGAGGAAGTTGGAGTTATTTGCTTTTCCTTATCATTGAGTATTTTTAAAAAATTGATCATCCTTTTATTAGATATGTTTCACGTTTTTCTGCATTATTTCTAAGAATGTGTTCTGCTACTAATTTTTATTGTTGACTGCTGTGAAACTGTAGGGGATCAAAAATATTTTCTTCTTTCGTTAAGTTCTTGAAGAGCAAAGACCCCAACGATGGTTCAGAGCAGGCTCTGCTTGATGAATTGAAGGCATTGGATGAGCATCTAAAAGCTAAGGTATGAAGTTTTGTGTAATAAAAATTAAGGTTTTACCTTCAACCCAAATTACAAAAATAAAAACTATTCCAGAGGGTTTTTGTTTATTTCTGTAGTTGATGATGTACTTAGTCGTGTGCATATTCAGGGACCTTATGTGAATGGAGGAAATATATGTGCTGTTGATTTGAGTTTAGCACCAAAGCTTTACCATCTTGTCGTGACTCTTGGCCATTTCAAGGGTTGGAATGTTCCAGAAAGTTTGACTCATTTGCATAACTACATGAAGGTATTAGATATTTTCCTTTAATTTTTTCATTTCTTCGACTTCGACTCTCTTTTATTTTTAAGGGTGTACGCATTTAACCGGATCTGAAACGACATAAATAAGACAACAGATTTACAAGCAAGGAATTGTTTTTCAGAAAATTTGTTTCCTAAACTACTTTCAAAGTTTTGCTGTGTTGATTGCATCAAGTGTTTCTTTATGATCGCATATGCAACTGAAGGGAGAGAACAGGCAATAAATGAACAAAAAAATTGCAACAAAGATGACAATAACTACTAAAGTGATCTAGACACTTGATTTTCATGCCTCAATATGCTAAGATTAAATAGGTGTGGGATAATATTAGTTGAAAGATACAATAGGTCCCGCTTAAAGAATAATTTCTGAGCCACTAGCAAGCATTAAGAATTGAAAAGACCTAAGACCTCAAAGTTCTTTGTTGTGAGGACCAACTCCTTCCATTACGTATCAAATATTTTATCTCTTAACAATTAAGCGATGAAATAGACTAAAAGTAAAGCAAACAAAAGAAAATATGGATTACGGTTAAAGTAAACAAATAGTATTACATAGAAAACTCTAAACAGTTTAGTTCTGCATGTGCTTAGTTGTGGTAGTGCAGCCACTTTGAGGCCTTCAAATCAGTTTATAGTGTGTTTCTCTTATCTTCTTTTGGATTTTAGTTTTGATAATGGACTTATGATCTGTTAAAAGGTCATTTCCTTCCCTTTTGATTTTCTGTCCTTTCATTGTAAAAAATTGTTTCCCAGATAAGTTATCTTATTGTGATAAGATCATTTCTATTGCTGAAGATAGTCTCTCATCCCCCACATCGCCTTTTCTCTATACTGCCAAGCTTGTTAGTGTGGCAAAGTTTGTGAGCATGATAGTTGCATCTTCTTTGAAAGGTTATACTGGATCTTTTTTTTGGGTGAACATCTTCTAGAGACCTTCCAAGAGCCAAAACTGGGACCTGGAGGTTGAACTAATGCTACTGTAATTGCATATTTGCCCCCTTACAGATCCCACCTACATATAATTAGCAATTATTAGCTGATCTTTAAGTGTGTAATTCTTCTGTTCGATAGACCTGTTTTTCAAATTCTGAAGTTTATGTACAGTAATTGCACCAGTTTCTGCCAGCCTTAGCACCGATAAAATATTCTACCCTGTGCTCCTGCTGAATTTCTTCAATTACATGCATATTAGGTAGACATGAATATAGAAAAGTGGAACTACTGGGGTTGTTTGTTAGCCCAGTCCAATTGGGGAAGTAAGTTGAGAGTCTTCAATAACTAAATAAAACTTTTGGAAGCAATTTCATTGTCTCGAAGTAAAGTGGTACATAAAGACACTTTTTTTGATGTGAATCATTTTTTTCTGATTGCGTGGATAAAGTTCCACAATTGACTTGTTTTAATCAGTGGGTACGTTTTCTTGTCTTCCCATGGCTGCATAAATATGAACTGATTCACGCTATGTGTTTCGAAAATGGCATATAGTTATAATGTTTTTCCCTATTTCACATCATTGTCTACAAGTGCATCTTATATATAAATGCACATCACTCAAAAATCTTTTCGATTATTTTGCCCTTGGGGGCATTGGATATAAATGCACATCACTCAAAAATCTTTTCGATTATTTTGCCCTTGGGGGCAATGGATACTCCAATATCCTCATGTTGCTGTACCATATACCATAATACCTGGATATGCACACTATACTTAAGGATATATTTTCTGTATACAAAGATACAGTGACAACAAAAAATAATCAGCATTTCAGATACATCGGGGATCTGATGCATGTGCATTTATATTACTCATTTAAACATAGTTCTATATGTTTCCAATGGAATTAATGATTATTTACTTACATTCATACAATTTTTGTACCCCTTTTCGTTACTTTTTTGTTATTTTTGTTGGAAAGTTACATTGTTTTGGTCTTGAAGCATGCAATTGATGATGCATTTGACAACTTCAATGAAACTTGGGTTGATTCTGATTGTTTATTCTGGTATAGATTCTAAATTATATACCATATTTATATGATGTTCTATTTTTATGTTATGCACCTAGTGTTATTAGTTTGCCCACAATGTATCTAAAGTTTCATAGACTGATAGTTTCCCCCATTTCCCGTGCCCCTAGGTGCAGATTTTATTAGATTATCTTTACTTTCTGGCTGAGCTGTTTTCATTATGAAGCTGTGTTGGATATACGAACATTTTTTCATTTTTGGTTTGGCTTTTCGTTTACCGTTTGTCTGTGATACAATCTATTTTATATTGCAGTCATCTACGGTGTTAACATTATAATTCAAGAGGGTGGTTGTTTTGTGAAAGAATCTTGTACTTGACACATCATATAAGAAACCGATGTGCAACTTTATTGTTTAAAAGCAACAAGTCTCTCACTCTCTCTCTCTGGGCCACACAAACATACATAAGCCTGCTGCCTTTCCATGTGCATTTTATGCCTTTGGATGTTTTGTTGACTGCCTAATGCGTTCTCAATTTTCTTTCTATTCTACAGTTGCTCTTTTCTCGGGAGTCTTTCCAGAAAACGAATGTTGCAAAGGAATACGTAATTGCAGGTTGGGCGCCCAAAGTTAATGAATGAACATTGTGGACTCTAGCATGGTGTGTTATTGTGGCCTTGTGTGAATGTGTCCTAGAAATAAGGTGGACTAGTCTTAGTGCTTATGGTCAATAATTGAACCGTTTACCCCTGTATATTTTCCTTGTTAAGATCTGATGTATGATCTAGGAACGTGTCTTGGTTTCCACCATTCCACTGTCAAGAATTATATGTCGATCAGATGCATGGTAATTTTTTAGAGTATTTGACTCTCTTGACTCGTGGGATCGTCTAAGAAAGTGGCAACTTGGATTACTGGGTCGCTAATTTGGCCTTTGGGTTGTCTAGGAAAGCCGATAACTACATTTAGGCAACAAAGGGATATTAGCGAAATGGAATCAAGTATTTAACAATCCAGACCCATAAGGCTATGCTAGTTAGAGATCAACTATTACAATTTAGGAGACGAGTGGTCTGTGGTATTGAGAATTTGTTAAGAGTATAAGCTTTTGGTGCCCCGTAAATGCTCAATTGAGTGCCTCGTCCGCTTGTGAAAGGCAACCAGTGCCAGGGGATGGCACTGTGGAACTATCATCATTCTATTGGGTGAGCCAGTGTTCGCTTCAAGGTTTCGAGTTTCTGGACATCAGTAGTGACTTCCATAAAAAGAGGATTGCATCCATTAAAGATTTAGCCTGTGTTCGGCTTATATTAATAAATTGTTTAAGATACCGAGAATACCTGCAAAATTAAGTAGGTTGTTCGCTAATTCCTTTGAATACTTAATGACCAGAGGCTGGAAAAATGAATGAAGTCATTAGTACATCAATGTTTGACATCATTCTCGGTGTCGAGATTTGATTGGTGAAAAAAACTGCTTTTCTTTTTTAAATTGTCCAATTGTACGTGACACGTGACGGAGTGTAAAACTTAGTGACCACCAAACATGATTGTGAAAATATCTCACGTCATCAATAATCGTATGTCATCCAACATCTGTCCACAAGAAACCCAGGAGCAACGTTATAAAATTGCAAATTAAGCCATAAACTTACATTGAAACCAACAAAGTCTCGAGTGCTAATTATATATTTAAAAATAGGAAATAAAAAAATAATCAAGAACCTTGGGTTGGAATTGGTGGAAGTGTAAATAAAGCAAAAATCATAAGATACACTTAATTTTGCTTAAAAATATATTTTAGATTAAAACAACGCTCTTAGGGATTTCGGAGATGCTTTTTTCTTTTTCTTTTTTTACATCTTTTGTGTACAGTGATATCATCTTAATCATAAAAACTTCATTTACAATTTGAGAAAATTGTACAAACTAATTGATGAACCATCGAGGACGAGTGGCCTTTCTAGTTCCCGCCTCATTTGGGAATTGTTTTTTTTTTTTTTTTTTTTTTTTTTTTTTTTAAGTGTCAATCCATAGTCGTGGGAGGAGGACTCTCGCTAGTGCCCCAAATATAATTCAGATTATAGTGTAGTCCTTAACTCCAAAAAAGTATATTCCGTTTGGGAGCGATTTTGAGAATTGATTTTTTGACTGTTAGGAGAAAAGTGGAGGCTACCTGTGAGAAAAAAGTCAAACTTAACGATCGAAATAATGAAATAATGATCAAAAAATCAAATTTTTTAGATGAAAAATCACTCACAAACGGCCCCTAAATAAAATATTAACCTCTCGTCATTTTATGGCTAAAATGAGACACATTGCCCATTTGTTAGGCAAGAATTTTATAGACGTGTTATCGGCATTTGAGATTAGTTCAAAGAGTCGTTGAAAATAATAGAAGTGAGAATAATTAGAGAGACAAAATAGTCATTTCTTTTCGTACCTAATTATCGAATCTCAAATAGAGATATAATATATATACGACGGGTCAGAATAAAATATAATAGATTTATTGATTTCTATGATCTTATTATATAAAGAGTTCAGTCTTTTACCTTCAGTGAAAAATAAATAAGGATAAATAATTAGACTAGACATGATCTAATTATTGGAGCTTTAATAATATATTGTCCTATTAGGTTTCATGGAAAGTCTATAAAGTATTGTGACTTAATTGCAAATTACTTTAAAAGTTCTTGACTTAGTTATAATTATTATAAAAGTTTGGACTTAATTGTCGTGAAAGTTGTAAACTTAATTGTAAGTGTAATTTTAGGACTATACTTATAATTAAATAAGTTAAGGACTAATTGGATTTTGACTTTAATTAAAAGCTCTTATTTGGACATTATTTGAAATTCTTACGGTATATGGATTGAAAATCCATCATCTCAATGAAACCAAGAAATTCTACAAAACACATAATAATTCTTCTACAATACGAAATTTTGAAGAGAAATAGAGAGAAAGTTTTCTTTGTTTTTCAACTCCGAAATTAGTTCTTGATCTAATTAAAAGAATGTGTCCACCCACCAATTTAGTTTTGACTTTAAAGAATATCAAAGAAGATATGGAAATTGGAAGCAACAAGTTCTTGGAACTAAAAGTTAGAAGTTTGTGATGAAAAAATATAACTACTCAACCTCTATGTCGAAAATTCTAAATCATACATAATATCCGCTTTGGATTGCATTTTACTTCTTACTCCTCAAGGCTTTTCATCACTTTCTCCAGGATTCGAAATCAAGACCTTGATCTTATGAGATGGTTAAATTGAATTATGATACCAATTGGACATAACACCCCATATATAGATACCATTGATTTAGAAATTTTATTATATAGTTTTCTCTTAAAATCAGAATGCTAAAAAGTGATTAGATTTTTTTTTTTTTTTACCATAATAAACATTAATGATTTAATTGATAAAAAATATAGAAAAGTTTTGTACTTATTAAAAATAAGATAATTAAATTAATGTTAATTGTTAACTTTATTTCAAAAATAGTCAATATTAAAATGTGATAGTACTAAATCGGTCTCATCACAAGTAGTCATCTTGTTTTTAACATCTGAAAGATGTGAAGGAACAACATGGAATAAGTTAACGTCTAGTAAATAAACTATATACATATGATGCATGTTTATGATGTGCATATGCATACTTTAAATAAATGAGTTTTTTTTCAATATGTATCCCAATTTTTTATTTTAAATTTTAAATTTTAACATTACCATTTCAAGCTCACTTTTTAACACATCTCTCACGTAGGGTGTTATCTCTTGTAGCCACGAACTTACCATCGACCCGATTTACTACTAACTCTCGGTCAATTTTTAATTCGATCATTTGGGCATGCATTTCCTCAGCAAACTGTATTCCCGGCAATAAGGCCTCACATTTGGCTACATTGGTTATTTCTTTTAATACGACCCTAAGCGAATAATTTAGCTTGTATCCTTTCGGACATGCTAATATTATCCTAGCTCCAGCACCGCTTTCTCCCGACGATCCATCAACAAAAAAAATTCCAATTTCTTTTTGGTTGGGCTCAACAATGAAATCTGGCAATGTTTGCACTTTAATTTCGGATCGCCCTTTACAATTTATTGCAAATCGTCCAAATTTCGCTGCTTATGTTATCAACTTTCCTGTTGCATCGAGTTTTTGTAACACTTGCTTGAGTGGAAAGTTAGTCAGTACGTCAATACTGTGACTTTGAAAAGAAGGATGAAGTTTTCGAGATGCTATCACCAAAGCGAGGGCTAATTTCTCTATATCTGGGTATCTAGCCTAAGCATCTTGTAGGACTTTACTTACATAGTACACTGGTAACAATTTTTCCTTATTCATTGGATTGGTTAAAAGCGGGGCTTTTTCTCGATGTTCTTTTAAGGCTTGGAAAGCATGTTCGCATTTTTCGGTCCATTCAAATCTTTTCACTCCTTTTAACACTTGAAAGAAANGATGTTCTTTTAAGGCTTGGAAAGCATGTTCGCATTTTTCGGTCCATTCAAATCTTTTCACTCCTTTTAACACTTGAAAGAAAGGAGAGCATTTATCTATAGCTCATGAAACAAATATGCTTAAGGCTACGACAATTTCAATTAGACTCTGAACCTATTTAGGTTACACCGGAGATTACATTTCTATAAGGACTCGTATTTTATTTGGGTTTGCCTCAATGCTCAGTAGGATTACCATGAAACTTCAAAATTTTTGGACATCTTTGAATGCACATTAAGTGGGTTGTGTTTCGTGCGATATTTTCAAAGAATGTGGAATGTTTTTTCCCCATGTTTCAAATGATTTTTGGGCTGATGGCTTTTGATGAGCATATCATCAATGTATACTTCCATTATTTTGCCTAAATGATCTGTCAATATTTTATTGACTGACCTTTGATATGTTGCCTCCCTTGGAAATAAAAATTATGGGAAGAAAGGCTAGAGAGAAAATTCAGAGATTTCGCTAAAAAATATTTGTATTCTATCGTTTGGCTCTAAATGTCTCAAACACAAGGCCTTTTATAAGTATTAGAAGTAAACACGTGTGTTAAAGATCTTATGTGTAGAATGAATTATATGCGTAATATGTTTAAAGTAAGATAATTAATAATGTTGAAAGAAAAAACTAAAATTATTAAAGAATATAAATATAATAGAAGTTTTATGAAAATTACGTACATAAAGTGAAAATGTTGAATAAATTAAAATGTAGTGATTTGTTTGTGCTAGACTTTGGTTGGACCCCTATTTTCAACTATTACGGTGACATTGACCAATTTTGTGATACAGACAAATAGGAAGAAAAATCAAATTAAAATATGTACATTTGATTACATTTAAAATATTTACGTATAAGTAAACTAAAGATTTGTAAATATTTTTCAAATTAAAAAAATACTCATTTTGTCTGTACCATAAACTTATTTATCTAAAAAATAAAAATAAAAAATTATCTTATCTAAACGGGTTAATTTCAAAAACGATCACTGAACTTACCAAAAAATTACAAAACAATCACTGAAATTTAAAACTTTCAGTAACGGTCACTGAACTGCTGGGCGGTTACACAAATGGTCACTGAAGTTACCAAAATGATTCTACTTCAAACTTAAAAACCAAAACACGTGACCAAAGAATATTGAGGACCTCAGTTGCAAATTTTCGGCCAAAAAACCCCCAAACCCATCGATGTTTGATTCCAAAATTTGGTATATCAGAGCTGTAATTTCTGCAATTGAGCGGTTACCAAGTGTCTTTTGATTCTGAATGTCAGTTTTCCAAGTTGATTTTTATATTGGGTCGCATTGGAGCATCCAATTGATGGATGAAATTCATATTCTCGCGAGTGGACTTGG